GTGATTGGCTGATTAGAAATTAAGTGTTACCGAGCAGTTGGACAGGTGTATCTAATAAAGTGGCCGGTGAGTGTATATAATATCAGAAAGTTAGTCTATGCCCTCTATGCCTAACTTAACATGATTTCTACTGTTTTGCTCTCACATACTCTGTTTTGATTACCCGTGTGTTAAACAACATATTTGTATTTTTCATACAGAGGCTGCTCACATGTAGGCGTGATAAAATCTATGGAGGAAGCAGGAATTCCTATTGACATAGTGGGCGGGACATCGATCGGCTCATTCATTGGTGCGCTGTATGCTGAGGAGAGAAGTGCTGTTCGAACAAAGCAGAGGGCCAGAGAGTGGTCCAAGGTACAGCATGCATCTGGATTTCAGGACTTTTAGAAGCATAGTTTCAGGCAATAATAGGTTCATTTCGATTTGATTTCTCTGTATTTATGTGTTCAACAGGCAATGAATTCAGTGTTTAAAACAGTCCTGGACCTTACCTACCCCATCACCTCCATGTTTTCTGGGTCTGCCTTTAACACCAGCATTTATAAAGTGTTTCAGGACAAGCAAGTGGAAGTGAGTCGTTCACTGCAGTGTGACTTTTTTTTAAATCAGTCCTTGGAGCTATCCTAACAGATCTGGTGAAACTAAAAACACTTTGTGTTCGTAGGATTTGTGGCTTCCATACTTCAATGTCACTACGGACATCACAGCCTCGTCCATGCGAGTACATCAGGATGGTGAGAAACATCTGAGCGGACTGTTTTATAATGTTAGAGTTTTACATACAATATATTTAACAGGATTTTATCATAGCTTACATACACATAAGCAAGTCTTAACTTCTAACAGCTTAGTCGCAACAGCAACCTAAATATATTTCAGATGTAATTAAAGAACAAAATACAAGGGCACATTCCTACACTTTTTCAGCTGTTGAATGCATATTGATTTCTCCTACTCTTTATATCCCAAGAGTATAAATATTTAATTGATAGGCATAACCTGATGCAGTGTGCAATAATGTAGCTACTACATTTAAAATGACTGCATGTCTTCAGAGTCCTGATTTACCGAGCCCCTCCGGTGACATTGGATTAAGAAAAATTAACACGTGGCCATGAGACATTTATTTATTTATTTATTTATTTATTTATTTATTCATTTATTCATTCATTCGTTTCCATGCAGAGACTTGATTGTTTACACAGACTGGTATGAATTAATTTTATTTAATTTTAATATAGGAATGAATGACATAAATCAGTCACTTCTATTTAGGCATGAAGTCATTCTTAGCATCATGATACAGCTTTAAGCCATATGGCCAAACTCTACTTAGCATTATATGTTGCAGCATAAGTCACAGGTGATGACTGGAGATATATTTGTTCGAATAGCTTTTTTTTAAGCTACATACTCTAAATGAGCTCCACTCTCACCCTATGTGTAAGTAGTCATAGTTATGTTGCATTCAGAAAGAGAAGAAAAAACTTTTGCTGATATACACTGAGGGTGTTCAACGTGATCTCATAAATACTGGTTCTATTAAAAAACATATAGATTTAACCATGGAGGTACGTATAACAAAGTATTAAGGCCACACTATGATATTTTTTTTGTTTTATTATGAGATTTAAGTCACAATATTACCAGGAAAGGTCATATGAGAAAAATGTCATATACAAGAATAAAGTAATAAAATAATGAGAAAGTTGTAATATTGCAAAAGTAAAGTCATATTACAAAAATAAAGTAATGAGAAAGTCTTAATATTTTGAGAAATAAGTTATATTACGAGAAAGTCATATCATGAAAATAAACTCGTTATAATATTACAAAAATAAACTCGTAATATAACGAAAATAAAGTCATAATATTTTGAGAATAAAGTAATAATATGAGAAAAAAGTCATATCATGAGAATAAACTCGTTATAATATTACGAAAATAAACTTGTAATATAACGGAAATAAATTTGTAATATTACAAAATAAAAGTCAGAATATTACAAGAATTAAAAATATTATAAGAACTCTTATACAAAAAGCAGCTTTACCACTGCACTAAAATGAGGAATGTTGAGCCTCTTATGAAGTTATACTTGGGCATCGGTTTTACAAGTAAAGAAATAATCTTTTAACACATCAGCCTCAGGTTATCAACATTAACAATACTTTGGAACAGCTGTATAAATGACTAAATTGATTCATATGATAAACTGAAGCTCTATGGCACTGCAGTTAATGGCTGCTTTGACAGATTTAGTTGTCACATAATGTGGATGGAAGCGTATTACGCTAACAGTGATCCAAAAGTAATCACGGGCTACTTCGTAAACACAGCGACACTCTGTCCACAGCAGGTTCGAGTCGACTCAGGAATGTAAATTGTACAGGTCACGTAAGATTATGTCTTTTCTCGTAATATTACGACTTTTTTTTTGCTAAGATTTTTGTAAGATTAAAACTTCATTCTCATAATATGATTACTTAATTTTTGTAATTAAAAATACCTTTATGTGACTCTAATACTTAATGGAGCACTTTTCAACTCTTTGGATTTAACATACACCTATATGTAATACGTGTGAGATACCTTTAGAACAGTTAAACACAAAAGTAATGTATTTATTTATTTTTCCATCTATGATTCCAACAATGTCTGTATGTCTCACAAAGAAAGACAGCTGCTCAAAATTATCTTGTGGCCATGCATTAACTAACGGGTGGCCACAAGTTATTATTTCATGGCCACACATGAACTTTTATCAATCCAGTGTCACCGGATGGGCGCCGTTCTGATTTATTAATAGCGAGGAGAGACAATCCAAGGAGTCATGTGATCCCAGCTGTCCCAAATTGCATCTGCTAGCTGCATTTGGACTAACTGGAGAGGGTACAGGTTTATGTTTACTCACCAAATACATCTAAGTTAGATAAGAATATCACGCAGAGCAGAGAATGTTAGGAACAAGACTTTAAACATACAGCAAACCAAAATCCAATGCTTCAGTTTAGTTACAGACTCACAGTTTTTGCCCTTCAGCACAAATATGCCTCATTTGTATTGCTTAGTTTATGCTGTAGCCATTGAGTTCGAAGCAGTTTTCACACCCAGTTAAATGTCTGTGCTTGTGCCTGTATTTGCTGAATGTGTGTTCTGTTTGACTTGCATAAAACTGCACCATCACTAACATGAATTAAATGAGATCTCCGCGGTCCGTAACTCTTCTCTCCATAAACCCTTCAAATCCAGCTTCCTGTTTCCTCAACACTGTAATGGTAATCTATGATTTACAATAATGTACATCACATTCGAACATTGCGAGTTTAATTGGAAAGTCAATGTTGTTATTGAGGCTGGCTGCTGGGTTTGAGGAGTTTGTAGGGTTTTTCAGGGCCTGAGTTCTGCAGGGAAATGATAAATGCTGCTGATGCTGCCATTTGCATCTTGGCATGAGTATAAACTAACTGCTGAAGCCAATTTCTTTCTTTCTTTCTTTCTTTCTTTCTTTCTTTCTTTCTTTCTTTCTTTCTTTCTTTCTTTCTTTCTTTCTTTCTTTCTTTCTTTCTTTC